TGAAATCCTTCGTAACGAAACAAATAAACAGTCCGCGGATACAATACAAATGAAAAATTATCGCATACAAATAAGAAATTTTACAATACAAATAAGAAATTATACAATGCAAATGGAAAATTATACAATACAAATAAAAATTATACAATACAAATGAAAATTATACAATACAAATAGAAAATTATAGAATACAAATAAAAATTATACAATACAAATGAAAAATTATACAATACAAATAGAAAATTATACAATACAAATAAAAATTATACAATGCAAATGGAAAATTATACAATGCAAATGCAAAAGATCGAATATTGCAACGTTTGACATGTCATAATTTTTCAACAAAAGTGTTTGATAAAACTTGGGCTTTTGGTTGGCCTATTGTTGGTTGCCACCTTATTTTTCACCATAAGTGTTTGATAAAATTGTATTTTTGATTACTATCATGCTGTTCCTTTAAGTTTTGGGAGATCCAAATCCTGGTGTATATACAAATTGTAGAAAAACATGGGATCTCCCAATTTTCATGTCTTACCTTTGTGTCATTAATAAATGACATATTTACAACTACATTCATTCTTAGTTTTGTATTCTGGCTGAAAAATAACAAAGCTGCGGGAAACAATATGTTTAAAAATTTTCATTCTGAGCATGGAAGGCATAAAATGTATTAAGGTTCTCAAATCACAAGTCAAAGTATAAAACTTTGGAAATTTTTTAGTAAGAAATGCAAAAATAACTAGAGATACTGTGGGTACTGAGCTCACAAAATGATACCCCCATCCAGGCTACCATAAGAGTAAAATGAGAAAGTCCATTTTTTGCTCTGGGAAAGCCCAAATATATGTCCGATCAAAACATAAAGTAGGAGGCACAATGGCGCTATGTGATAAAGATACTGTTAAAGTCTCACTAAATTTTATGGTATAGGAGGAGTTGCGGATAAGAGATGGGTACTCCCAATATTATAGAACGAATGGCAGTGCCTATGTTTTGATATGAGAAACCCCAAATATTTCTCCGATCAGAAAGTAAAATAGGAGGTGAGCTATGGCAGTATGTAACAAGGATTCTGTGAAAGTATCATTAAATTTTAGTCAGTGGTAGAAGAGGAGTTGCGGATAAGAGATGAGTACTAGTATCCCAAAGCGTAATAAACCGGCGGACGGAGGGACGGATGTACAGACGGACACCCCCATCACTTTTTCAACCCCCGCATTTCAAGCCGGAGGGGGGGGGGGGGATAAAAATGCTACTTTTCAATAGATTTACAAATCTATTCCTATTGTTTCGAAGAGATATCGTACTATATCCTGAGTGCATGACGATCTACTAAAAAACTTGTGATTTCTTTTTTATTTTCATAAATGTACCGTACAGTTACATGTGTATACAGCCTTTAGATAAGGATAAGCATCTAGTCTTGCTGTTTGCTTTTTTCTTTCTAGATTGAGTAATTGAAAGGGTCATCGTCAGGTTTCTGTTAAAGGGGGATGCAAACGAGGTTGTGGGATGGGTACCCACTCTCTGTCATTTTTTAAAATAATTGGTTACCATTTTGCTGTTTTGATGCATTCCTGATGTCTTTTTTCACTTATATTTGAAATATAAAAAAAATCTATCAGCATTACTTTAAATAGATGAAAAAAAGAATTTTATTTTGTATTTAGAATGATATGATCGAGTGTTCTTTTAAAAGGGTGCAATCCCCCCCCCCCCTCCTCCCCCCGTCCCGATGGCCTTTTGATGTATTGTAGATAATAAATAGTCACATTTTTCGTCGAGTTATTTTTTGCCATTAGTTACTAACAGGTGTTTCCCTTGTTTAATTTGCAGTATCCTATACACATTTCATTTCACACATTGGAATAGATTAATTCCTTATATTGCTGGCCTTACCTTTTTACATATACTCAGTTTATTTCATTTGTAAGTTGTAATTGAAATGATTATGTGTGGCATTAAATTATTTTGTATCTGAAATGATACAGAAATTCATTATAGCAGTAGTCATACTCTCTATCCTTCCGTTTCAGTAGACCGGAAGTGATAAAAGAAATAAAAAGACTACAGGAAAAAATATATTTTGGTTACAGCTGACAAAGCTTGTAACAATATATTCTTTGTTTGTGACGCTTATAATTACAACTGCATTTTAGAAGAACGTGGTTTTAATTCCATATTTTGTAATCAAACCTATACCCACCTTTCAAAGGCTGAAATCCTTCAAAATCACTTTTCAGTTTCAAATGCGTTAAACATTTCAGTCAATGGAAGAGAGTTTGATTTACCGTGCCTATACTGGATTCCAAAACTTCATAAAAATCCTTTCGAGGAAATATTGCACGGTTCAGTAAAAATTCTTCCTCTTCATCAAAATATTAACTGCTATGAAGGAGATACAGACGTGCTACAATATATTAAATTCGCTACGCAAGAGCTTGCACTACGTACGAAGAGTTTTTAAAACGAAGCAAGGTATTGACAAATAAGTTGATAATACAAGGATATCAACAGTACCGTTGAAAGTCAACATTTCGAAAACTCTATAGTCGACTCAATGACCTAGCTAGCTTGTTAGGAAATACAATTTATCGTTAAGTCGAATGTTGACTGACTTTTTCATACAAAATTGTTCGCCACTATTTTAAACTGAATTGTCTATCGTAATAACGGATTTTTCCGTTTGCCCGACCATGACAAGAAGCACGCCGCGGGTATGAAGGGTCGACTTGGGGTGCTTACTCCTCCATAGCACCTGATCCCACTTCTGGTGTTTTAGAAGTCCATGTTTGCTCTGTTCCCAATTTGTATTGTTCCAATGGACTTTTAAGCTTGATTACTGTTCGTTATCTTCATATTTCATTCAAGAAGTGGTGTAAATCAAATGTAGATTCTAAAAAAAACTCCAAAGAACTAATAGTCTTTTGGAAAATTTAAAATCTCAAAATGTTTCAAACATCAATAGCATCAAAACATATGACTTTCTTTACAACCATTCCTCATGATATATTAAAGAACAGGCTTTTTGGCATCATAAACAAGTTATATTCCCATTGAAGAAGAATTTATTCAAAAACTTTTTCATGAGAAGAAATTTTTTTGTTGTGGCCTTCAACTCAACATAAAAATAATTCCACGACGTTTTATCAAGTAACAATAGTTACTTTAATACTCGTATGTCGACTCGATACATCCCAGTGAGTTAGTAATAAAAGACAGTCTGCCACGTCTGTTTCATATTTGGATGTTTTGCTGACTACTGTTAATCTGTTATTCGCGAGAACTTTATTTTCGTGTAAATACGCGAGACAGTCTTCTCGTCAAAATTTCATTCTTGCGTATAATATAGAGCAATAATCAAAATTCGAGGAAAATTTTCTCTCGCTAATAAAGAGTAAATGACGAGCTTACGAAAATAAGTTGTCGCCAAAATTTGATGATCTACAGTATAGACGATAACGGCCAATTAATACCTAAACTGAATGACAAACTGGATGACTTGTGGTTTTCCATTGTCAACATCCCTTATTTATGTGGCATATTCCAGCATCACCTGCATATGGTGTTTATGTCTCCCAATTAATTAGATACGCAAGAGCATGCTCTGAATATGAATATTTTTTACAGCTAGGCAAGCTACTGACAAATAAGTTCGCAAATTCTACGGTCGTTATACATGTAATTACCTTGTTTGTAAATACAACCAATCTTTGGGTCGTATTTTATGTAACGTTTCATATTATTTGTTAGATCATTGTTTTGTACAAAATTTGGTTATGGAGTACTCCGTATACCTGATCAATACATAGGGCTTACGGCAGGTGTAATCAGTCGACAGGGGATGCTTACTCCTCCTAGGCACCTGATCCCTCCTCTGGAATTTCCAGGGGTCCGTGTTTTTGCCCTGTTCGCGATTCGTTTTGTTTGGTGGATTTATGAGATTAATCTCTGTTCGTTTTCTCCATATTTTACATTCTATTCTCAAAATACTCAGTGCAACATACAGGAACTCGATCAAAGATTGTCGAAGTCGACGTAATAAAGAGTACAAGGGTTGTCCAAAATGTGTGGACAATTGCCTTTTGATTCCAATTGAAGTGGCCCAAACAAACACATTGTGTACCAATATGAAAATATTTGTCATAAAAATCCAAGTTAGAATAGCAAGTTCGGTTTTGATTGTTTCGACTTACTTTTTTGTAAATATTGCCGTCTTTAAAGGTCGTAGAAAGTGCACAAGGCCAGGGTTGAAATGTTATAAACTCTGTAAAAAGTTTTTGGGTTAAAATGATTTTTTTTTTTTTTTTTTTTTTGTTTTTTTTTATAAAACAAGTTAAAATTTGACAAGAAATTATGTCGTATGTAAAGCGGCTGTCATTTTTTGCGACATCTTAATTTATGTAAATTATTTATTATTTATCTATTATATCAAAATATTATCGTATACATTTGGTAGTGTAGACATTATATTTTAAGAACACAGTGCATTATGTGTCCACAAAACTATTTGGGCAGTTCTCGTATAAGGAGCTGCACACTTTGGAGAACGTGGGAGAGAAATGTTCCCTTTCCAAGGTGCTGAGTCGATCTGCACTCTCTTTACCATGGAGCGCTACACTCCTCCCACTTTTAGAAAGGAGAAGCCCCAACTGTTTACAATAGGACGAACTACGTTGTACAGGTAAGATATATTTCAAAACTTGGCAATGCCTTCCATCAAAAGACACATTACAAGTAACCCCTATTTATAACAGGTCCCTAATACTGTAACAGTTTACATTCACATCACACTCATCCAACATCCACGTTTTTTACGACACATGAAGAGGTCTATTGTTATATGACTTTCATGTCATCCCAAATGACCGAACAATGACCCACGCATCCCCCAATTAATATTTCTTTACATGAAAACACTACATCAATAAAAGCATAGTGTCATACATTGAGATCATACACTTTTTGGGTAAAAAAAATATCAGACGAACTTTGTGGTAAATTATTTTAATTTTTCATTGATAAAACAATCTACAATTTTACAAATAATGAAATAAACAATATATAACACACAATGACATAAAACATGTCCATGAAACATCTCTGTCTGAATTTGGTTTTATTTTTATTCTTCAAATCTGTTTTTCTGCAAACTGTTTGAATAACAAGTGGCAAGTATGCTAAAATGGATATCCATTTCTTCGTTAATACTTTTTAGAAATTTAAATTGAATTGCAAAGGTTTCTTTTTCCTGATAAACAAGTAGTTTACCAGACAATATGTCTTATAATGTACAGATTTTCACAAATAATTATGGAATGTAAAAATGCCAATATATAATTTGGGATATAACAATAATTTCAATTATTAAATTAAAAGTATGCAGAAATGGAAAAGTATTGAGAAAGAAAATGTCAGGTACCCATAAAAAAACAGAGTAGTAAAATTAAATTACCTGGTGCATTATATTTTTCTATACAGGTGTATATAATCACAAGCCCTTATTTAACAAATAAATGAGTATTTCCTCATAGACTTAATTCATTAAATTACAAAGCAAACAAACATAACAAAAAATGGATCTCAATTACATGTAGCATAATAAATAATGAATCTAATGTTACATCAATTGTACAGTACTTGTCATTTCATTGACATGTAGTTGGAATATGTCCATTTTCTGCTTTGCTTACATACTTCTCCAGAGTCGGGTTATATATAAATGTAAAGCAAAACAAGACAGATTTAAGTCTTGTTTCTGATTAAAACAATAACCATTAAGTTATAACAAGGGTCAGTGAACCTATGGCCATTTAGTTATGAAAATTTGCTGAAATTTAATATATGTAAATTAATTGAACCTGATCATGACTAAAGTAGTATACATGTTCAATATATCACAAAATAATTTAAATTCTTTTCTCACTATCATTTAAAATATTTTAAGTACTCCTTTTTGAATTAATAAACATGTAACTATATATTTTATAATTTAACAAGAAAAATAAAATTATTGATGAAAATTTACAACCTATGGTTTTGCAAATTTCACAAGTGCACAATTAAGGAAAAAATGAGCAGTTCAGCTGGAAGACTTTTCATTTACGTCGATATAGGTAACCCTTTTTTCATTTTTTTTCTTTTACCGAAAAGCATAGAACATGACCAAATATTACACAAAGATGATATTTGACTCATTAAAATATTATATTCATGCAGTGAAATAATGCTCAACAAGGAAAAATTGAAAAAAGACATGTGTGCATTACCTCCATGTTGGAAATTTTTGTGTGTAAGAAAAAGTTGTTAATGTAACATTTTCTTTTTACATTTGATCAAAAACATTTCTTTACAAATGGATGGCCAAAACATGTTATAAGCTAAATATTCCTGGTCAAAACAAAAACAGCATAAAATCACTTGAACACAGTTTATGGGAGGAAGTTTTAACGATATAGAGCATATGTATTATGCTTAACGTACTTATTTTATGCAAACTATTTGAACACAGATTATATAATTTTAAACATAATGAAAATAAAGAAATTACCACAATGGCTAAATAGTATTGCTTGATGTTGGACCCAAAAGAATCCATTCACACACAATAAGCCTATAATCCTGGTACGATAAAGTTCAACAAAAGCACTTTTCTTCGTTACAAATAAATGCACTCTAATAATGTGTTTGTATGGTACCTCACTAATATCATAGTTAGCGATTAGAATTTGTCAATTTGGTATAGCATACAAGGGCACAATAGTAAAGTGGACATCTACTGCAGAAAATGGTTTCAGCAGAGGCTGTTTATTTCCAGACTGTAAGTTTGACCTTTTATATATATTAAGGTCACAATATAGCTTCAGATCACTACATGGATCCAAATTTTCTGAAAGCCACAGTCATCATGTCTTTCCTCAGTTTTCAGATCAAAATTAACGCAGTCCAACAGCCAGTACTTGTTCCACACAACCTTATCCTGGTCAAGGTCCTTATCTATTTTTAGATATTTTCAGATATCCCCTGGGTCATATCTCCTCCACATATGTAGCGGGAAATATCCCAACTCGTCCTTGTAGCTCCCCCTGCCACCAATCGTCCAACTGTTTATCATATAAATTTATTACATCACCTGTAAAAATGGTAACCAAAAAAAAAAGACAAATTAATCATCTATTTCATGGAAAAGGGAAAAAATACATGATTTATCATTATGTACAGCCAGTTAAGTACACAAAGTCAACTGTTGATACAGTTCTTTTCAAAAAAATCATCAGTTTACTGGTTAATAGCTTTAATTGTGTGAAATGAAATTTTTCAAAAATCAATACACTGTAAGCCTGAAATTCATATATAAACAGTCGATACCCATAATAATCACTTAATTCATGTGATTAAATACACACCTTTCTTATTACATTTGTACGATTTCTCTGTTGTCAATGATTTGTAATTGAAGTGTTTTGTTTATTTTCTATTCTCCCCTATTCTACATTAATTTTTAAAAATATTTTAAGGGTTTTTACTGTACAGTTGACAATCACAAATTGAGCATGTAAATGCCCAAATAAACAGAAAATCTGACTACACAAGTCATAATAAATGAAAAACCTTATAATTACAAAACCTTATACAATAATTTCTATGATACATTGTACATTACATTATTTCACAAAACCTGCCAGTGGATAAACAAAACACCTTACAGGACACAGACATGATGGGAAAGGATACCACAAAATACAAAATGTGCCACAAAAGAAGAATCGTGAAGAATAATATTACAGGTACCTATGTTATTACGCTTCTAAAATTTTCACAGAGAAAAAATTCTTCTTAGAAGAAATAAAACCATTCGCAGATTGTATATACTTGATAGAAAACATGACATAATAATCAAATCATTTTTTTTTTAAAAGTGATATCTAAAGCTTAGCTTTTGAAATATTTAGTTCATGATATTAAGAAAAAAATTACCGTGTTTAATTGTGAGTTCATCATTCCGATTAGCATCATAATCATACAGGGCTCGACATCGACCGATCACATGACTATGATCTGTAAAATCTTCAAACTCGTCATCAGCTGCAAAAAAATTTGACCTTTAATTTCCAAAACATTCAAACATCTTATAACTATATGTAAAACACAGTCAATGGATAGTATGGTCTTTTACTGGCCAAGTTTTTGTCATCTCAGGATAAAATTCTACTTTGTAAACTTACTGAATATACCATACATCTAAGGACCTTTTAGACTGATTTTTCAAACAAAATCAAACATGTCCAATTCTGACTTATTCATTTCTGATCACCTTTTGGATAATGGAGAAAAATACAGATCATTGACACAATTTTGTTGTATTCTATTTGTAATGGATAAATTAAACATGGTAATTATTGCTTTAAGTTGTACTAAATTTACCAAATGGTTCCTCATATGGATCGGACTGTGTTTGATTGGCTAAAGCTCCTACAGTTACCGAAGTAACATCATAGCCTGAATTTCCTTCAAGAGCTATGTTGATTGGTAGTCGCAGGACACTGGTTGGAATTCCCTAAAAAAAACACAACCAGTCATTAAGTTACTCTTCATAAACATACACCTGTATCATTACAAATCTGAAATACCCAAGGTACACATATATATGTTGTCCAGGCCTTGGGATCACGAAATAGACAGACGTAAGTCAAAATTTCAATTAATTAAGTATTTGTTAACCAGAACTCTGAACTTACATACAAAAGCAGTTTGATAATGCAATGTTTATCAGACTGTTTGACTTCTAAATCATTTCAGCACAACATACATATTTTGACTTAAGCTTGAGGTGTTTCATGATCCCAGGGCCTGGTATGTTTGTTTAAATTAGACCTTACCTGTTTATCTCTGACAGTTTCTATGTATTTGGCAAACTTATGTTCAAGCTTTGGCTGGCATTCTAGCTTGGCTAACACCGAGGCTATCTTATAATGACTAGCTTCTAGGAAATTCATCATAAACATCACCTAGAAATAAGAAAAAAAAAATTTAATAGCAGATTGAATCCAATCCATATTGTAGTTGTAACAGACCACAAACTAAAACACAGAGTATGGGGCAGATAATTTCTGTGGATCAAAATTTTAGATGTTGATCTTTTGAAAGTAGTATAAAAATATTTGTGATATACCGTATATACTCGCCTATAAGTCGGTCCGCCTATAAGTCAGTTGTATTTTTTTAGCTTGAATTAGAGGGACTGACCCACTAAAATACCAATCTTTTTATAACTTGCGTATAAGTCGGATAAGCAGTTTTGGACCAAAGATTAATTCCCAAATAACCGACTTATAGGCGAGTATATACGGTAGAAAATAGGCTATTATGAACATAGCAAATTTGTACATATTTTGCAATTTGTCTGAATACAAATTACTATAAAAGAGACCAAACATGGTAATTATGTGGTAGGTACCTCTTACTGTAATTTCACTCAGCTAGACTACACTGAAGTACACTGACCATATGAGCATTCTGGTCATAATAGACTAAATCTTTATACACTGACCACATAGAAATTTTACAGACATTAGAGAGCCTGTATTGAGTCCTTGGTCAACACAGACTATTATATTTCTATACTGACAAGTGAGTGATTACACTAACCTGGCAGAGTCTTTGTCTGGCGTCCTCTTGTGCATCCTGGTCAGCAAAGTTTGGCCGTTCTTTATAAACCCCTACTAATTTCTCCACTCCTGACCAAAGAAAAATTAAAAATCATAAACAGAAAAATTAAACATGTCACATGTACAGTGCAGTTTGTCAAGGAAAAAGTCAATCTTTGCTCACTCAAATGTAACTCCCTATGAATGAATTTATCCTGATATGCAAAAATCCAAATGTTTGGCCGACAGATTACAGATTTTTTAATATACATGTACATGTATCAACATGTGTCTGTAAAGTTTGAGTTCACAACTCAGATTAAAACTTTGAGAAAAAAAAGACTGAAAGTGACTCACATATATAAGTTGGAAAATACTCTTACAGCATAATGATTTTCATTTCCCATGACTTTAAAATATATTGTAAACTTAATGGATATAAAGGATTACGCTAATATTGAAGCAAAATCGTTTGTCCCCAGCACTTTGTTATAAGTGTGTTTTACTGTGCAAGAATCAAATATATTGATAAATTTTTATTCATTATAAATGTAATTCATAACATTCTTAAGTTTAAATGTTCTTAAACAACAGATAATGAAAATCACTTTGTTATTTTTAAAGCCTGAATGCATTATGTGTTTGCTGTAACAGTGTTTAGCTGTACCTTCCTTTCCCTTCTTCTCCCGTTCTAAAGACTGTCGTAAATATAGAAGGTAGTTCTGTAAGTAGTTCTTTCTCCTCTCCGCATTCATAGTGAATTGTAAGTCTTCTGCCTATAAGTAAAACACAATACAGTAACTATAACATATGTTAGTTTAGAACATTTTTATTGATAGTTTGGACTTTAAGATGTCCCTGACCAACAAGATGATAAAGGCCACCTTGTTTATAGACACACTGTATGCATCAAATTTCAGGGAAAAAAACATCACTTGCACACAGCGGTATTCATTCTTGAAAAAATTAGGCTCCGAATCTCCTGCAGTGGGTAAGATAATTAATGTCTTTTGGAGAAGAAAATTTTCAGAAGTTGTCCCTCTTTGCTCATTCCTTTCTCAGTCTCCATCAAGATAATGTATAGAATCGTAAATAAAATGTCTTACTGCCTACTGAAACAACACTTCAGATCTGAACAGTACAGGACAAAGGTGAAAAAAAATAGTAGGGAAAAACCCAGAAATTTGTGTCCATCCAGAGTGATCATTACTACAGGCATCAGCAACTGTCAAGATGGGGGGGGGGGGGGGGGGGTATTTACTTTCTCATTGAGGGGACACCTTTCATAAACCTAATAATATCTGTGTTTACTGATGTAGCAGTCTAATATTATATCTGTGTTTACTTAAATAGCTGTCTAATAATATCTGTGTTTACTTAAATAGCTGTCTAATAATACATTGTATCTGTTGACTTATGTAGCAGTCTAATAATATCTGTGTTTACTGATGTAGCAGTCTAATAATACCTGTGTTGACTAACGTAGCAGTCTAATTTATTCTGAGTTTACTTATGTAGCAGTCTAATAATATCTGTGTTTACTTTATGTAGCAGTCTAATAATATCTGTGTTGACTTACGTAGCAGTCTAATAATATCTGTTCTGGGGGTGTTCCCTGAGTCCCCCGCTGCTTGGCCACTGCCTTCAGATCCTCCTGGATGTCCACCGATATCACAGACTCGTGTAATTTATCACAACTCTGTAATAAACAAATGATATATTTACAGATATCGTAGACTCGTAATTTATCACAACTCTGTAACATATCACAGAATATCACAGATTCTAGTAATTTATCATAACTCTGCAATTAAAGAAAAGATAGAGATAAAACTTTATGTACTCCTGTAATCCAGCACAATTCTCCAAAAAACAATTACTCATATCTACTGATATCCACATCAATTCTGTCAGATACAAAAAGATATCACTATGTGTTTAATTTTGTTATGCAAGTGTAATTTCTTTCTTTAAGTTCTATGGGTGTTATGTATGAATGTAACCTAGCTTTCATTGGAAAACAAGTTCTTCTTTATATTATCATCAAGAGTAAATCTTATTAAAGTACAGTCAAACCTCATGATCGCAAACTCAATGGGACCAAGAAAAAACTTTGAGATATCCAGAGATTCCAGATATTGAGGGTAAGATATTTAAAGAATAAGTGGGTTGGGACTTCCAAATCACTTCAACATATCCATTGTATTTGAGATATATCGGTGTTTGAGAAACCGAAGTTCAACTGTAGTAAGTAGAAAAAATATTTGCCAACTCACAGTTTGTAAGCGAGGTCCCATGACAGAGAGATGACTATTATACTGATTGAGGTAGTCGGCCATCTTGGCTAATCTTTCTTCATCTAAGGTCTGCAGTTGTGCACTTCCCTGTCAATTACATGTGCATTGTAAGAAAATTGTATTAAGTAAATAAATAGATATACATTTACACAGTACATACATAATCACTAGAATTTTCTAGACAAAGGAATAAGTTGTCAATTGAATTCATTTAAATCTGAAAGTCTTCACATCCCTAAAAAGATCAAATTCCTTCACGAATTCATTCAATAATGTGCATAATTTTGATTTGAGTAGGTATTCACTGCATATCTCTATCTATAGTTTAAGGTGATCAATGACCATACCCTAAAGAAATCAGTATTGTCTATATATTTTTGCCCTTTCAGTTCAAATTTGTGAGCAATTTTGCCGGTTTTAAATTCACTCAGTCACAGTTCTGTTTAAAAAATTAAAGTGTGTTCTTTGAATCCTCCTTATTTTAAATTTGCCCACCTGTGAGTAATGCGAAAAGGGGCAAAAATAAAACCAGGACGAAAATTTTCCTGCACACAGTATGTCATTGAGTGTTCCATCTTTTCATAAGGTTTATGGTTATATTCTAACAAATCAACAAGTTATCTCTGATAGTCCCAGTCTTTAACAAAAATAACAGAATCACAGATTCTGACGCTGAATGAAGCACTGATCTGCTCTTGCAATTTTTAAAATAATTTATGATATTTTTTTAACCTTGACCTTTGAACCTTACCTCGGCGACATTGAACGTCAACTCCTGTCATACTGTTTCTGTTTTTGACCCTGACCTTTGAACCTTACCTTGGTAACATTGAACTCCCACTCCTGTCATACTTAGGGCTGTCACGGTTCCAAAATTTTTTGGGTCAGGTTGGTACTGTAAATTTTTGGTTCAATTTCGGGTTTTTCGGTTTGGTTATTTACATCTATTTTAAGCCTTAAATTCATGAATTTAACTTGAAAAATCCTTGTTACATTAAATTCACCTTGAAAACAAATCTTTACCATGTTAACGTCTTGACATTGATGTTCAAGACTACTAGGCCGACTATTACCTACAACCTGATAATTCTTGCTCGTTTAGATAATTATCTATTCTAATCCTTCCGTGACAAGTTTTTTATCAGAATGAAGGAGAATTCAGTTGTGATGTTAATTTATCACCTTTATCTTCATCATTCTTTTGATTTTGAAGCCATTTTTTGTATAAAACAGATTTTTAATATATAAACCAGACCCAAACCAAAATCCGGAAAAATGGAACTGAAACGAACCGAATAACTTGGACTGCTGTTTTCGATTATTTCAAGGAACTGTAACAGCCCTAGCCATACTGTCTCTGTTTTTTTACCCTGACCTTTGAACCTTACCTTTGGTGACATTTAACTCCCACTCCTGTTGTGTGGTCTCTGTTTTTGAACCTTACCTTGGCGACATTGAATTCCCACTCTTGTCGTGCGGTCTCTGCTTTCTCACAAAGTTCACAGTAATCCTTATCAGCTTTCCTTAGCTGCTTCCTCATCTGGTCACATTTCTTCTCAATCTAATTAATATGTAATATAAAATCAGATGCAAATCTGCGATATATTTATATACTAGAATGCATAAAAAAGACGGTGCATAAGGCACTAAAATATGGATTCAGCTAAAGTAATTACACATACACTAGTCATACTAAATATTACATAATAAAACTAAAGTAACTGTTATCTCACAAAGATCATTGACCAAATTTCTTGATATGCTGGTTTGAAAGTGAGAAATATTGACCATATTCTACATTAGGTAGTAGTTCTGTCTATGCTCCACAAATGCTGGCTGCCTGCTGGCAATGCTGATTTTTGGCTGACTGATACATGCTGACTTGACTTATTCTGATGCTGATATACATGCTGATGCTTATCAAATGCTAGTGACATAATTAAGACCAGTGTAAATTTACTAATTATGATTTGAATCCTGATCCCAGTCTAACCTTGTGTTTATCTTTCTCTGTTTTCCCTTTACTGGTATCAGTCCTCAGTTCCTCTCCCTTCTCGCTGTCTTTGGCGTGGACATAACACTGCTTCTTAGCCTAACAATAGAGCAAGCACTCATTCAGTCTGGTCAATTCATTAGCCATCAAAAATCCTCTTCATTACAAGTGTCACACAATAAATATAGTTCAAAATGTTCCTCCACAATTCAATAAATTAACATGCAGGTTGAGCAGTACATGTACCAACTCAATCCTGGAAACAGAAATACTTTCAGAAGCCTGTATGTCACTTTCTTTTATTGCTTTAATAATAAATCTTGTATGATGTGAAATTAACTAATCAGGGGGTAAATAGCTCAGTCAAAAAACTCATTTTTTCCCCAATCATACCTTAGTTTCTTCTGTTCTTCTGTCCGTCAGGGTCTTCAGACTTTTGTCCACTGTTGCCTCTATCTACAAAAGATGCCTTTTTGATAAAGCCAATTATATGTGCCTGACCTGCATTTATTTGTACATATAAGAATGGTTTCACAAAGGAAATTAAGTTTTTCCATGGCCATGGGCACTCTAATCTTAATTACAATGACAAACAAAGTTATGAATCCTTGAAGAACAGAGTTGTCTTCATTCAACTACGTACAGCACTCACACTCTTGCAGAAAAAAAAAGTTTTTCTGATGCAATCCCCCCTCTCCCCCCTTTCCAAAAATTCATCTTTATTTTGAGAGGGTCTTTAAATTGCTGTTTTATTGTGATGATTTGCAGAAAAAAAATCTGTTCTGTTATAAACTCACAGGTTTTCTAGCATTATAGCAATATTCTGGTTCTATTATAAACTCACAGTTTTTTGGCTTTATAGTGATATCCTGGCTCTACTGTAAAATCACAGGTTTTCTGGCTTTTTAGTGATATTCTGGTTCTACTATAAACCTACCGGTTTTCTGGCTTTATTTTGAGCTTCCACCAGAGATTTTAATGGTTTACTGATCTCCTCAGCCAATGCCTGACCTAAATTCCTGTAAGAAATAAAAATACTAAATATGCTGCATAAATTGCTTTCCTTGACTTTCCTAGCTTCAGTTGCATCTCTATTGTGATAAAAATCTTTAGAAACATCACACTGTGAACTTTGACCCCCTGACCCTTACCTGTGAAGCTCCGCCTCCTGCTCCATGACACTGGCCACTGACCGCCATCCTTCAGCTAAGGTTCTGACAAACAGACGGACAAAGGAATTAATAAACAAGAATATACATGTAGTAACATCTGATAACTTCATTTTTGTCACCATTCATCATAATTAACATCAATGTGCAATTTATTGCAAATTACTGGTATGGTTTTTCTCTATCATTCCCAGCTACCTTATTGGCTCAAACTAGATAACATGATCAAGTATTTTTTTTTTTAGTATAGATTATATAGGAATCAATTTTTAAAGGACTGGTATAACAATAGTCAATATTGACTGGATTTTTCTAAAAAAAAAAAAAACAACAACTTGTAATTGAGATGTCATAATGAGTCCGACATAACAATGTTTTAATATATGAGATATTACTCTAAAAAAGAAATGTATATTTTTAAGATACTTTTTCATAAATGATATTAAAATATATAAAACAAATGTATACGGTTGGCTTTTTATTTGGAACAATCCTTAGATATAATAGACCTTAGAGAAAAATACATCGACCTCCCACTTTCTGCCAAGTTGATATGCTTTAATTCTCTAAGGTTTTTATCTATGGATTGACCTCATCAAAACTCAAAAGGCTATATTTATACATTAAATGTATCTTTTCTTTAATTTCAAATGTTTAATCCTTTATACCTGAATGAAATTGACAGGGTTTTTTTAATCATCAACAGTATACATGTATAATTATTTTTAGAGCATTTTTCATCTCTAATTCATTAAAATTTGAATGGAAAATTACTCTTCAACATCATCTGAAAGAGGTCAGATTAATGTACAAAAGGACTCCCTGATATTATACAATACTTGAGTAATGGAACATAAATAATTATTTGTCAAGGGTGTTGTGTCACTCTTACATTGTCCTATTAAGTATCTCACAGCACAATCATCATCACGGCAGCTTAGCCACTGGTGAAGTGTTTTCAAGTGGCCAAGGAAAACAGTAGCTATAGTATTATGATTATGTTAATTAATATAAATTCTGAGCATTATAATTGCACTTGATTTTAGGGCCTTTCCTGAACTATGCAAAAGCATCACTGAATTTTTTGACCTCGTCAGCAAAATAACGGAAGTCAATTTTGCATGTTTGTGTTGTTTTCGTTTTTTTTCTCCCACAACTACTGGTACATAGCTCTTGAGTTTTTAATACGTAAATGAACACATGACTTTAAAATGTGTAAATGTAATGTGTACAAAACTGCACAGAGACCTCGGTATATTTTAACATCTTACCCTAGATTTCCTGTTGTGGCTTTTACAAGTTTTTGACTGAGTTTGTTGAGATGTTTTGCATAATTTCCCTCTAAGTCAGCCCTGTAAAATACTGTGTTACATGAAGACAAGGACATAAAATAAATGTCAGATAAAAAATCATAATACATAAAAATTGATTTTTAAATAAAAAAAAATTTCAGGTACCAGTTAACCTTTTGCGAGCAAATTGAAAAATTAAGGTTCACAATCCCTCTGCTCATTTGTATAAATTTTTGCTTTAAGACTAACAATATTTCAGAATAAATTTGATTTACAAATATTTTCATTCCACATGTATTTTTTTTTTAATAGTGTGTGGAAAGCTACAGCATTTAAAACAGCGTACCATGGATGGGGAGGTGAAAAGGTTAAAATATGATTTTTATTTTGACTTCAAAACGTTGAATGCCATGCAAATGCAACGTCATTAGTGAAAATCAAATTCACGCTCACAATGAACAGTTTAATGGTAATACCTTTTGCAATGGCTCTTCCATTTGTTATAACTTAGCCAAAGGATAATACAGAGCTTTGAAATATAAATCACAATTGCAGACAAGGCAGGGAGTTAAAAAATGTAAATATATAAGCATTGAATTATTATTTTTTGAAAGATATATAGTCACATAATTGCAAAGGTGTGTGCAAACAAATTTTCACAACAAGCTTTATTCAACTTGTATGCACACACTAATAAAAATCCAATGCTCAATTAAAATATTATACACAATTTCAAAATTTGACAGAAATGGTCTTTCAAGGTGATAGTTTTATAAAGAAATGTATATGGTCATTTATACTAGTAAGAGTTATCTCTTTTTTAGAGGGTTGGTGAATCTTAATTTGAGATTTCCATACCAGGAAAAAAAAAACTTATATAATTCACCCCTTATAACTATACCAGCAAAATCAAGAAGGATCATTGTGAAAACTAAATGATTTTACTGAATATTCATGAACTACTATTTTATGTCTCAGACAGATGGACTTTGACATCTCTATCTTCTAAAGTTTGTGCTTTTATAATTGACTTAATTAATAAGTGGATAAATATATATGCATTAAAATTTTATTCTAGTATTTTTTTTTAATAATTAATTGTTAATTAATTGTTCAAATAATTAAAATATTTTACTTTGATAACACTCACTGACCCTTTCATATATTAATACAGTTTAAGTACAGGATTAAGGATACTTATGTGTACTTCAACATATCTACCACAAACCTTTCCTGGATAATGGCCGACACTTCCTTACAGAATTCACTCCCTTGTTTGATGTACTTCCTTAATTCCTCAAAACCATTCAGGCCCTATAAAATAGTAAAATCATGACAACGTCACTATTTCTGAAAGGAAATAAAAAACTAAATAAAAGCCTGACAACACAACTATTTCGAAAAGGAAGTACAGAATAATGTTTTCTTCAAAAAAAACCATTCAAATTAATGTATGATATAAATTTTAAGGTAGATCATGATAGAAAAGGGCAACTATTATTTCCCTACAACAATGCAGCTACTATATATTTCATATTTCTTCCCATTCAGAAAATAGGAATATGGCCATCTTTAAAAAAATGTTTGCTTGCCCTCTCCTGACCCAAAGAGGCAGGGGAAAAATTATTTTTTCAGAAATTTTTCAACATCAACGCTTAATTTTTAAAATTTTATATTGGAATTGAAGGTATTAATAAAATTGAGATAATTGTTGATAGGATGAAGAATTATAATTATAATTCCCAGAGGCCATTTTTAGTCAGTTAGACTGGAGAGGGCAAACAAACAATTTTTTGCAAAGAATTTTGTTGAAACACCAAATACACCTGCTTATACATTTGACAGACAATTTATGTCTAGCTATTATGTACCGGGGGAGGGAGGGGGTATTGTAAGGCGTATTGTACTTTAGTTTTCAACACAGTTCACTGATACATGTACTTACTTGTACATGTACTAATACATACATTGCCATGCATGTACATTTATGCAAAAAAAAAGCATTATTTAAAAAAAAGAAATAACAATGTACGGAAGTACTGATCTAGCTGTATTTATCAAATGAACATACACTTCACGATCAAACAGAGGTCTACTGAAAATTCTTGAAAAAATTTCTGTAAAATTAGCAACAAATTTCATGGTCAGTTTGATCTTATGGGACAAAGCTATGAAACACAACATAATGAAACTGCAACATCACTGAATCAGTAAATTCTAACATTCAATATACCATATGAAATGGAATAATATATGTAACAAATAATGTGACTGTGTGATCTGCTTTGAACTTTAAATACAATTATTTGTCGTAATTTTCTATTTAAAGGGAAAAAGGAAATATGAATTGTCATTATTTTCTTGAAGTCTTCCAAGATCAGGACATTAATTTAAACCACAAAACAGCTGTCAGGAAATATTTTGAAACTTTCACTATGCAGACAATTATAAATTTCCTTTTACAATACAAAAAAGTACTTTCTCTGAGTACTGTAAATTAGTCTGTACTCTATAGTTTAGAATTACTATTAATATAGATCAGTTATATAGTACAGTCAGAGAGGTATTTGTAGTGGAAAATTATAAAAGATGAGTCTAGTGTTTTAATAAAATACAATGTCCTCAAAAACCAATACATAATGATTGTTTTTAAAGTAAAAATAAAGGCCTTCCATGCAACCACCACTTCAACCCCCTCCCACCCCCTGCCCATTCATTTTCTTCTTTTTCATTGATGAATATAGGCATATTTTTCATAACAGACTCTTAATTGGGTCAAGATTGCACATAAAAGGTTAATTGATTTTTGAATAGTAAAGACAAATCACTTGATCATTAGAGTCATTTTGCAATTGAAGGTCTAAAACCACTGTATCTGCATATTTTCAGTTCATATAAGTTTGTGAATGGATGCTAAACTAATGGAGAAATGTGTAGTGATCACTTTAGGACAACTGTTTTACATTGTATTGAAAGCATTTTTACTATCTTCATATAGTCATAGATGAGGACAAAGATTTCATATACTGGTGCATGTTCCAGGCACAGATCCAGGAATTGAAGTTGGGGGGGGGGGGGAGCTCCTGGATTCTAGAATTTTTGAAGGGTAAAAATGATGTCTACCAAATAAACATTTTTACATTTTCTCAACAAAGGTATAATTTACGCTAACTTTGACAATCTTTGGATGCACGCTGGGTGCCCCCCCCCCCCCCCTTAAATCCGCCACTGAATTCATTTTCTGTTCCTTATAAATGCATTTCAGGGACTTGACAGAGATGCTGATTAGAATTGCCTCATGGACAGCATCAATATACTTTATTAATATACAGATACCGTCTGTAGATATTATTAACTTATATTCAAGAGAACTGTCCACTGACAATTTTCACTAATACATTTAAAATTAAAATGATATAAATCATAAACATTCATCTGATGTTGATAAACACCAACTGCAGTCATAATATATAACGCTAGACCTAATAGTTCCCACACTAACAATTAAGGAAGATTTAGAACATACTGGTACACTGCACATTTTTTTTAGTGAATTTCAGGAACTAATAGAGACTGGTTCATATACAGCAGACACAAAACACTAGAAATATATTACGAAGAGAACAGATGAAATTTATTATAAGGAAAAATGCTTTATTAAATTAAACTCAGTAATTAAAAAATTTTCCCAAAAAAAGCAAAGCAAATGACAGAATTTCAATCAATGACATGATCCTTTCATTGCATGTACATGCATATACATGCAGTTAAACTTCATCATCTTCCAACATCGATAAGTTGAAACCTGAAGGATATATCAAAGATAATCAAAAATCTTTCAAACAGCTTTTTCTTTCTGCCCTATTTTAACCTATGTATCTCAAATCATCAGATATCTCAAATTTTTTCTTGCTCCCATTGCATGGGTTTGATATAATGAGGTTTGACTGTACATGATAATTCACATGCATTTTGATATATATATATATTGTGTATTGTTTACAATACATACAATACTCATTTGTCCATAAGGACAGTCAAGTGTTTGTTTACTGTACACAATGACAGAATGAGCTCACAATGTCAAACTGCTGAACATGCATGAAACTGCATTTTCTGAATAATATGACAAATAAAAATAAATTATGAAAAAGATGACATGCTCCACCGTCGTTTTAGTAATGGACTTGATTTTTATCTATTTTTTTTTTAAATCTTATTTTATACATGTATATCAAACTAATTTGAAATTTATGACATATATTACACATGTTACAAATATCAGAATTGGAAATATTTTATAACCCCTTACTGCATGGGTAGCCTTTTTGTGTCCTGACATATATATAAGTCATCATGGCATTTCAACAGAAAACTTAGAAATATTATTACTCATCCTCTTATATGCATAAGTAAATACAAAGTTTCACTTTTTAAACATGTCAACTTATACGTCAAAATGTTTTGTTAAAATTTGCAATAAAGATAAGTGCAAAAACTCTCATCAACAATTACATCATTACTCACAAATAAAGTGTCATAATCCCTCAATAGATCAGACATAACAGGATTACCAGCATTGGCGTAAATGTCCATTCTCACCGTATTAGATCATACGACTTTAATTCACATACAAGAGGACGAAGAACAGTAAGGATCAACTTCCTGTATGGCTTCTATAAACACTTAAACAAACAAACCTGCCATAAACCTGTTGTAAAGTTCACCACGATCATAAGAGGTAGAGAGATTTTACATCCCTGTTGCATTAGTGAAATATTTAAAACCAGATATATTACCTCATTCTTTATTTTTTCTCTAAATCTTGGCATTCTCATTTATCAAATCATCATATGCAGTATATACCAGTACTCCATCAAATATGGACCAAAATAATCATTAGAGGAAATCCGTCTCCGAGGCATCACAATATAATATTTCCACTATTAGATTCCTAGACACATAACAGATGAAACAGTCTATAATAATTCTATGTACATTTCACTGATATTAACATTTTACTCATCCCAAAAATCCAGATCTTCGCCTATCAACCTTTAAATTTGTACACCTTAATCCAATTATTCATGAAACCTCAGGTTTATCGGTGCTATCCAATGATAACAAAATTAGACGAGCGAAAGTCGATTAAGGTTACCCCCCCCATCTGACACTTAAGTAACACTGGCATCGAGAAAATTCCTTCCTCCATACCTCTCTGACTAGCAGGTGCTCCTGTGTGAAAAACTTCAAAACACAAACATCCTCACACAGACACAATATCAAGGTACATAAAACCATCATTGTGAAGAGAGGGGGAGATATTTCTAGTAAACATTTGTCCAAGCACACATTTTGAAAGTAAGTATTGGATGAGGAGATTGGATGCTTTTTCCTATATTTTTTTCTTTTCAATCCTTGTCACTATATAATCTTCTCCCAAACCCCTTCTCCTTTCAAACTGCAGAAGCCTCCCACCCCAACACCCAAGCTTTATAGGTCTAAAAGATTTTAACATCATATAACAAATACAATCATTAATCACTCTATATACATTGAAGAGATTATCTTCTACATGTTTCCTATTTCTTATGAAAACAATTCAAAGTAACTTATCCACAAGAGTTATTTTCTTAGAATTTTTAAAATTCAGTTATCACAATTAATTTGACATTATAGTTTTCAAAATACTGCATATTATAGTCACACCTGCCAAGAAAATTTAGCAACATGAGCCAATGCCTATTTATTTATAAAATACTTAAGTCTATACACATAAGCTTTCTTTCGTTGATACATGTATCTATATTTATAGCAGCCTTACAAATGTACAAAATACCGTACTTAATTCATCTGCAGGACAGACCACAACTGTACAGTACATGGACATGAACTCAAGCTTAACCTAATCCAGGAATCTGTCTTAATTCATTACATTTTCTTTGCATGCACATGTTAATGGGAAGCCCTGAAGATCTCGATCACTCCATAGTTCATTGGACCATTGAGATCTATGTATACATTTCATTTATATTTGTTTTGGATCTCTGTGCATGTATACTAATACACCGTCTTGCATAAGAAATATCAAGAATTAGATATGGCCTTCGTTAGAATGTCTTTTTATTGGCCGTATTATTAGAAGGATCTATTGTTTACAGGCACTAATTTTGGCCTCTCTTGAAAAAAAAATGCACATGCAATGATCAATTTTTTTTTATCGATTACATAACTCTTATCTACTAATATAAACATTGAGGCAAGCAATACACTGATATGCATATCATGCACCTAGGAATTTCCATATAGACTTATCCTGTATAGGTATAAAAATGAAAGTATAAATTAATAACATCAAATTTGAAAATCTGTACAGATTTATGAGGCTTGAATTTAAAATGATCGAAGACTATATTACATAGTATGTATAACTATAAAGTCTAAAACACCCATATTATAAAAGTTTGGGTCACATCAAATTATGCATATTTAGACTACATGCACAAAATGAAAATAGACATCTGTTTTGTCAAAAAATAAACAGTTGAATTGCAAATGAATGCATTCTACCTATGATCATATTACATAATACAGGACAGAGTTCCCTAAAACACAATAGGATTGCATGTGTTTTAAAAATTGTCAAAACAATCTCAATATTTTAAATTTAGAATCACAGATAGGCAGAGAAATGGTTTTCCCACCAAAATTACAAAAAATGATAGATTTAAAAGAAATTAAAAGTGGAAGCAGCTCATTTTCCACCCACCGGACAAATCTCTAGTTCCTGGGCAGATCGTCTTTTCTTGCGTCTGAATGAGTTCCTTAGCGTGGACATATAGTCACGATTAGATTCCAGTTTATCACTGGGCTAGATGTGTTTGTATAGACGTAGAAGCTACCATTTTGTCTCGTCAGTTTTTCACGCGCATGTAAACACAGAGCTATTACCTGTTGGAATGCATCAAGGTCCTATCATTTGACATTATCTAATGAAAGATTTATATATCCCACTGTGTGTAATGCTGAAATATTGCTTGCAAAGAAGTTCAACATGTGTTTTGAAATTGAACAGACTGATAAGAAAGAAAGAAAATGAAAAAAAAAATATTTTGTAAATCATACAATTGTCCTTCTATCTTTCGGCTGAAGGACAGAGCAACAATTTTAAGCCATAAGAAAGTTTTTTTTTAATAACTAAAGATACTTAGAACTCTTCACAACAAAAAAAATTGGGGTGAATCTAACACCCTAGGTTTCTCATTACATTAAAGTATTTAAAGTTTATAAAATAGGACAGATATTTTTAAACACAAAATAAAAATAACAATGATAACAAATTCTAAACAGGTATACATGTATATATATACAATACTGCATAGTGCAAAATCTGTTGTCTGGAAAATTTTTCAGTGTTACACTGAGTGTATATCACATAAAAGTGACTGATACCTGGGATAACAGAGATTACAAGCATTTACATTTAGACTGGCATTTTTCAAAAGAATATTGCATAATACATCCTGGTAATTCTTCCTTCCTTCATATTTTTTTTTAAATTCCATAATGAAATGCAATACACAATACACTATAACTCCCCTGCCCCCCTCTCCCTAGCTCTCATTTCTTACATTTTTTCACTTAATAATATACACCTGATTTAAAAATATATTAAATAAAATTTCGCTTAATTATATTTATGAAATCTTAAGACAAAAAAAGTTTCTAAATTATTCTCTACTTAAACAGTTACACTTACCCGACTCATCTTGAGTTTTCACCTTAATCTTAGCAGAAGTACAAGGTACAATTATGACTGTTATACTGAACATTAACACACCTGTATATATATTTAAAAATTTTGATAACTATAAGCTTGCAAATCATGTGGACAATTCAATCTTCCATCATTTCAACAACATTCTGAATGAAGACAAATCATTATTAATGACAAATGATTGTATCTTAATCTTTTGTATCTCACACAAGGTCTATACTGTCTAAAGTTTTGACTTTAGAATAGAGTCCATCATTGCAATTAAGCCACAGGCCACAGGTTTGTGTCAATTCTCTTTGTGGAAATAGAATGGACACAAAACCCATGGCTGCTTGTGTTGATGCACGGAGTCAAGAAAGATAACTCTCATCCTTTAGCATTTATGAACACACCAAAGAGGTGTCTCCTTTGACAACAGTTCACACAAATAAAATTGGAGAGATATGGCCTCATTATTTTATTCACATGGTTACAGGGAGATGGTTAGGGAGGGGGAAGGGGAGAAGCAGTGGGGGTGGGGGAGGGTATAATAGTAAATAGAAATTTACATAAGGAAATTTATTTTACTAGACCTTTCATGAGTTATGACAGCACAAATATTCTTATCCCTAATCAAGTTCATAACACAAACTGGTTTTCCATATAAAAGAGAGAGAGAGCAACATTTGCCTATTGATAAATGCCAGCTTACATCATAACATGGACTGGTGCCATGATGTTCCAAAAAAGCAAGTGTTGAATTAAAATATTTATTATTCATTTATCCTTGTAAATTCATGCATGCATTTAATATTTGTGCCTCATCGATCAAAGTTTCTGAGTACCCAGTAGTTCATTATCGGTATATATTTTAAAAGTGCACCCCGGGCCTTCACATATTCCCATAGCTTATAACAAATTAAATACCCTCATTCAAAAAAAAAAAAAGTTCCTAACATTGAATTTTAAATTCTAACTGCTTTAAAATATGACTGTGAAAGGAAATTTCATATATCAGTACATTTAAAGATGCTTAATAAAATAATTGATAAACGCTCGAACAGAAATTTCCTCCTCAATAGTGGTTGGTTATACAGGGCAAAAAATGAATATCCAACAATCCAATTGAAAGTAATTGATTACTTCAATTCAAAATTAATATAGTCTAAAATACTGCAACAAAAAAATAGAAAAAGTACACTGTAGTAAGGCACTATTTGGTGAAAACAGAAAAATACAAAAATTACAGACTTAAGGAACTCAATTACTCTAGCTAATAATGCCTGTCAATAAATTATAAGTCGATCAATATGAGTGATGTACAAAATATCTGCAAGACTGGGTCCTATTTGTGTGTGCATTCAATGTAGATTCAAACCTTTGAGTATCATTTAAAAAGAGTGAATATTCATTAAAAATACCTCCAATATTATGCAGCATAAACATGATCAACTTAATTGTGTCTACAATGGTGTTCCCTCATATTTCATTCATGAATTTATGAGAAGCAAGTGAATTGTATCCTCCCTCCTAACCATACACATATGAGAAGCTGAAATATCCATAAATCCATGTATTAAATGTATTAACTAAACAGTTGAATGAGTAGTGTATCTGACACATTGAAACATGGGGGGATACAGACTTCTCCTGTGGGTGGGAGTGAGAAGGGGGGGGGGGGTCCATAACTATTCAAACGGCAAAACACCAAATCAGTACCAAATAACTTACATGCATATGGGGTCTTGCTTACTTTATCAGATAAATCTAATAACTATAAAAAATCCAAGGGGGTCACACCTGAATCCCCCCCATTACAGATCTAAATCCATGTATGTATTAATATGTCAATTGAATATGCTGGATTTGTTGAAAGGACTACCGGTAGTTAGTTCTTAGCATTCCTTTAAGTCTCATTTTTTTTTCTCAAACATTTGGATATCTTGGATGGCACCCTCCCCCCTTTCCCTTACCCACCTGCTTTCAAGTTCCAGATCAGGAGATTAAACTTAATTAATGCAATACAAAGAAGCTTTGCACACACTTCTTGGTAATTATTAAAACCATGCCATTCTACAGATACATAAGACACTAGCATTAAACTAGATAAAATCAATTTCAAAAGCTAAATAATCCAGGCAAAGAAAGGTTGTGTAACACCGAGGAGGCAAAAATTCAAAGTGCAGTAGAAACAAAATGACACTCAATCAAATCATGGAAGACATCAATTGCTTGCTCAAAAAATCAGCACTGCAAATGCTCTGGTCAGGAAGGGTACTCAAGTTTTACCTTCAACAGAGACCTTTGAAGAGAAGACGAAGACAGGCGATTTATCCAGGACTGGACGGTACTCGGAACTCTGGTCAGCCTGTTCCTGAGCCGCGAGTCTCTCCGTCGCCTCACGACAGGGTTACAGTAACGACAATGTTGACATAACAGGTTCTCCCTCGCAGCAGCCATTTAGATTTAATTATCAGGCTAATCTATAGTTCCTTGGAAAGGCACTTTGTTCCATCCAAAATAATTCATATTTTTACCAATTTTGTTATTAAAAAAAAAAAATTAAATCTACTTCTGATGTTGTTATTATAAGACAGTAGAAATCCTAGAGAATTACATATAAATCACACAGTTAGAGTTTTTCCCTAGTTAATCCACTTCCCTCATGCAATGTAAACATTGTATGTAAACATTGTATTACATAAGTATCCAATTAAAAGAGAATATATCAGTAAGTTATATTTATAAACACATCACACTTCATTTTCTTTCCTCCTCATGTTTAACTACTTGCACAATATACATCTCACTGATTTGAGAGTTTATAGGTACTTGTAAATTACCATACACCGATGGTTATTAAGCCTTAACATGCTTAAGAAACATTGGGAAAATCTCCAGTGCAGAAAAGACAAGTTGGCAATCAGTTAGAAATACAAAAAACAGTGAATTCTGAACTCTGTATCCTTCATCAGAATTGTAACTATCAAAATATGATCATTTTATTGGCACGTATTTGTTAAAATCGTAAGACTATGAGGTGGGCCATCAAATGGGTCTCCTCTCACAGAAATATTCAATGTCATGGATCTTATCAGAATTTATCTGAAGGCAATGGAATCTGCATAAAGAAAGGAATTAATCTGGAGTAAGGGAAAGAGTGGGGTTGGAGAAAAGTTCAGAAAATGAAAAGGAAGGCATAAGGACTAATAAGACTGATAATTTAACAGTGACAGAAGAATTTGTAGCATATTAAACTAACAGTTTTTTTACTACATGTAACATCTTTTTAATAACAGCAGTTAATTGACTTCAGTATATTGAGTGTGTGCCATGTTGATAAATTTATTCTTTTTACTAGGCTGACACACTTACAATATAGATTAGTATTTCCTTGTGACCTTATCTGCAAGCACATGCAGCTGTCAACATTGTCAATAAACTGTCGTCTAATAGATTTCTGTAAAAATACTTCTAAGTGTGTTCTTGTGTTCTTTGCACTTAGGATTAAAAACAAGCCAAACCAAGGATACAGAGAGTTTACATCCTGCTGGAAAAACTAGGTTATATTTTTAGTATGTTGGTACTAACAGCAGAAGACGGAGCTCTGTTTTGAATCTAGATATACAGTAACTGTATGTATTACTATAATGCATTCAAAGAGCTATAGTGCCACCGTGTAGCTGCACCACTGTGTATCCCAATAATAAAAAAAAAAAAAACAGCAACAATTAACATGATTAAACACACTAACACACACACCCTAAAAAAATAATGGAGACCTTAAATTGAAAAGAATAAAAGGTCGTTTTTACCATATATTTAGTTTTCATTTCTCAAACCAATCAGCTATATATGTGTTTCTATTAAACATTCAATTTCTTTTAAAGAAATTACTGGTTTACAGCTCAGCAGCCACGACTTTTCATTTTTATCTCTACAGTTTAGCATATACATGTATAATACATGTAATTATTCCTTAATCCTTAAACTTCAATTGTTTTTCTTTCAACTTATAAGAACACACAACACTTATCAATGATTGAGGAAAAAAAGTATGTCGATATTTTATCTAAAGCCTTAAATTCCAGCATGATAGAGGAATCCAGTTCAAACTTCCTGTTACTTGATAATAAATTGACTTCTATGTACATGAAAATGACATTGATACTTATAAGTTGCTTATTGTATTGTAAACTTTCATTCATCCATGTATTATAAAAAATACAACATACAATCCCTTGAATTTTATCTGTATATTAAAACTAGCATGTGTTTGTCCCTGATGAGACATATCACAGTTCCAAAATAAACAAGTACCCGATATAATATATCCAAGTTAGGAATTCTTTCTAAAGAAGGAAGTTTAAATTAAGTCTAAACCAGAAAATCTTCTTTTTTAATATGTTTTTTTTTTTAAAAAAAAGATTTGTTCTTTCATCATGTTGATACTGCCTAATAAAACCACAGAAATATTTCAAGTTTTATCCATTTCACAAGTTTAAATGTAAATAATATGAAACTTAATTATTTTTTTATAACATGGATATAATCATGTCTGTATTTACCAAATCTATTTTGAAAGAATTATTTTCAATATATTAAATATTTATTTTCTCAAACAGATTATCACCATGACATCATGTACAGAATGTGCTTCAATGACATATATCAATTAATCCAAGTAGTTGTGGAGTGTATACGGCCTGGGTCAAAAATGGCGAATTCAAGATATATGGAATTATAAGCATTTGTGCCAAAAAGTTACACATGTCAGACACAAAAAAAATAAAAGATTCTAAATATATCCCAGGAAAGTCCTTCTTTACATAAATCTCAAAAATAGCATCCATTATGAAAAATTAAAAAAAAAATTTCCATGAGAAAATCAGATAAGCAAGATGAATAATGTATTGTAACTCTTCATTGAGCAGAGTTTAAGAAAGTAAAGTTATTTATCAAACGTTTATTATAATATTATTTATTATTATCATTATGATATATTTACGTCTTTTTTAAACACATTCTGTCTATAGATCCATCTCTAGGTAAATGAATGTGTTACAGTAATGGTTTGGGCCGCAGATATCGGCCTGGATAGTTCAGTTGGTAGCTAGCACCTGACTAGTGATGCAGTGGTCCCGGATTTGATTCCCAGTCCACTCATACATTTTTTTCTCTTCCCTTTACATAATTTTCTGCTGTGACACCCCCTCCCCTTCTTGGACTTGCAGGTGAAAGTCCTGCCAAGGGAAAACAAGAACTTGGTGAGGGTGTCTTCGAAAGCAAAAACAATATTGATTATTGAGGATGAAGGAATGTTAGGCCATGGAAATTGGCCTGAGTACCTTAGTCAGAACATCTGACTAGTCAGTCATACCTTTTCTTCGTTCTTATTATATAGTGTCACATGTGAAAATGTTTTCCACCTGGGTTAATTTGTTCCATTAATTAGGTCATTGGTATTTTAGTTGGTAATTCAGATATTTAAATAAAGAACAAGAAAAACTGTAAAAATAATTTAAAAAAAAAGACAAACAAATTTTAAGAATATCCTGTCAATCAACTTTCTGCAGAAGCTGTAAAACGGGTAGACCATTCAATGGATAGTATCCATGGAAAATCAATAGGGTAAAGATGTTCAATCTTACATCAATATGTTAATTAAACTTATTAAAGAGATTCTCTGGTCTTCAGACAAATATAAATTGAAAAAAGATGATAATCATCACTCTACTTACCACAAAACATTCACGAAATAACGACATATTGTCCACAGCAGAATTATAGTTCCACTGGCACTGCGAAATTCAAGCGGAAATACATCGGATATGACTGTCGAGTATGTACACTAAAAATCGTTCTTGGACAACATTGCATAACCCGGAATGTAGGACCACTTAAAGGTTAATAAAATTCGGACCTTAAAAAGTGATACATTGAATTACAAATTTATGGCTAAAGAACAGTTTTACACAAGGTTTTTTCTGGTTTTTGTCAACTAAGAATTTCTTATTTCCCTGTTTCTAAGTACGTGTAAGTTTATTTAAAACCAGAATAAAATCGGATCCCTTAACCTTGTTGAAATGACCTTGAATCATTAGAATGACAGACCTTGTGCCATAAGAAACTGTGTATTCTGTGTGTGAACAATCAACTTTTAAGTTTTAAAATCAGCGATACTTGTACATGTTAAACAGTTCTGTATAAAATGATTAAAGCTAAAAGTAGTCTCAGGCCTATATGAAGCAATTTCAGTTTGGGGGAAAACGTAACAGAAATTCTTGACCAGAAAAAAGAAAGAAAAGAAAAAAATATTTAGGGGGTACAACTGCCGGTGAATTGACTTTGTTTTCTATAGCAAAATTTACACTGGCAAAATTAGTGGTTGTGCGTGAACCCCCCCCCCCCCCCCACCATTTCCCTCGGTTCCTACGGGCCTGCAAGTAAACACATGGTAAATGCTTATTTCAATATATTTGACAAGAAGAAGGAGATTTTATTTTGAAGAAAAATAGAGGGAAGTATCATTAAAATAGACTGTTTAAGTGCATGACTTTTACAATCGGTTCCTTCCTTTTCGTGGGAACATCTTTGCTAGACAAGGGTTACTACATGTATATATGTGCTTTTCTCATGCTTGGCAAATTATCATGATTATACGTGTACTCAGAATTTATCAGATTTAATCTGCCAATTTATTAGTCCCATTTTTCGCTCCCACTGAGTTTATAAAAGATCGAGTCAGTGTCGTTAAACATTTTTCTTTGAATAAATAAGCAAAATTTTCTATATTTCAAGATTTGAGAAAAAAAATATTCTTCCATCATGCTAGGTGATATTGTATATACACATCACTTTAAGGTCAACTTTGCCCTATAATGTGTGTGTGGGGGGGGGGGGGGTTAAATTTGTACAATGTTGCCTTTGTTAGTTAATTTTTTTATAATAGCCGTTTTAAGTGTAAAATGTAACTGTTACCTGGACTGACATTTGCAGATACACGCATGCATATACTACTAGTACATGTATCTGCAAAATTAACGCTCTTGTTTTAAGTTGTAGGGACTTTGAATGAAAAAAACTTCAATGCTAAATCAACAACATATCTACACTATGCTGAAAACAGAGGACTGGTACTAGGGCCTGCTGATATGACATGAAATTGTTTTGAATGTATCTCAATAAAACAAAAAGCAGTTAAAATATGATGTCAAATAAATTTTGTAATTTCTACCGAACTTTTTATTAAATGAGGCAAATTATGCACATATTTCCCTCCTGCAAAATACATGCATTTATTTATTTTATTTTTTTCAATGAACTGACAACATACTAGGTTTATATTTTTTCTTTCATTAAAAATGTAAGCCAAAAAAGTAACATCAACTAATTTTCTAACGTCACTTAATCTAACGTCATTTTGACGTTACCGAAATTGACACCAACAGCGTGGGCGACGTTATACTGTCTTT